AATAATAATAATAATAATAATAATAAATATATTACAATATCTACCGTGATGAACGCGATGATGTTTAGGAGTATTAAATATTAATTCCAAGGGTCCAAGATTGTCAACAATTGTCGTGTGTATCCAAAATTGATAAATTAAATTGAATTGATGATGTGCAATAAAGTGTGATGGGGGTATGAAGAAAGCTAGAGGTAAATAGAAAATCTGCAAAATATAAATATATATATATATATATATATTATACGTGTGTGTGTGTGTGTATTAGGCATATGAATTTATTATTCTTTTTTTCTATTTATTTTTAACTTACAAAATTGCACCAATGTTGTAGCACAGATTGACGCAGACTAACCGCGAGATTAAATTCCTCACTGCTGTGGTGTACTTGATGGTGAGCCCATAAAAAGTGTACTTCTATATATATATATATATATATAAAAATTACTAATCCAGTTATTAAATAATAAATAATATCAATTAAAAATCAATAGACAACAAAAAGGTGGATACTTAACCATGATTACTACGATGTACCCAATAATAACAAAAATCTACCCCCAAAGCGGTGATGTACCAAGTCCAAATAGAATTCCATGGTAAATTCCATAGATGATAATTATCATAAATAACAATATAAACGTAATATTCTGCTCCGCGAAACAATATGCTGTAATATTCATATCAAAATCAACGAGGATTCGTGAGAAAATTCTATGGGGGCGGGGACGGGGGGGGAGAAGGGCGGGAAGATTTCTTTTTTTTTTTTATTACGTAATTAAGAATTTTGTTATTTTTCATTATCACGTAAATAAGCTGTAATATAAGAAGCAAAATGGAAAATAAAAGCATTACCTATGCTTACCGGCCAGACTCTTGAAATATCCAATGAGAAAACGATGTCACTTGATCGTTCAATCTAAACGATTTTTTTTTATACTTAACAGTTAATATCATTTGTTCTAATACGATTAAAAAGAAGAATGGTATCCAGATCTAACAGAAAAAAAAAATATTCTTTAATATTAATGTGGATATTGTTTTTAATATTGTTTTATATATATAT